ACCCTTGCCGATCCCCTGTTTGCCACATATCACAATCACATTATCGTCATTCGTCAACCCAATGGCCCCTATCGACTCCTTTGGATCCTCAAATTTCAATCTTTCGTGACTTTCACTAAACTTTCCCTCAAGTAACGATGCACGGTGGACTTCTCCTTGTATAATATCAACCCAAATCAACGTATTGTTCGACGGATTGTATGTCACTCCTTCAGTTAACCGGCCTCTATAATCTGGAAATAATATATCATTTCTTTCAACTGTAAACTCACTCATGTTAGCAGTTGTTTTTCTTCATCTACTGTTTGATTAAGGATCAATTTATCACTTATTGTTATTTAACTTGGTATTGAATCTGGAACTCGATTGAGGTCCAATTCAGATTTGCGAACTTCTGCAGAATGCGTCCTTCACATTCTTTGTAAAGCCTCGCCTAAATACAATTCTATACACAAACAAAAGTCTAGTGTGTTATACACCAGCCATATACAGTTATTAGCGACATCTGGCACCTCAGGGGAATTATGTACGTTAGAATATATGCGCCTATTTACCCTTCTCTTGTAGATCTTGCCATTTTTTGGCCAACTCTATCATGGTGTCCGTGTTGACAGAAGCATCGATCACATCGATGGGTACTTGGTTCTCACTGTGTTCCTTCTTGGAAAAACGCCCAAGATTGGTCTCGGATATAAGTCTGAGTTCATATTGGTATATTTCTTTGGGGTTGATCTGGAGCAATTCGTGCCAGGTGAAGAGCAACGAGTCGGTTTTCCTTGAAAACGGGTTGAAGTCCACAATACACACCTTGTCGAACGGACGGGGAATGTACAAGTCGACAATTACGTTGTCTTGGTCGAGACTTGGTTTGATCACTTCAGCGAACATTTCGTCTATCTTCTGTCTGAATGTCGGCACCAACTTGTCCAAGTAGTCGTAGTAGTTCAAATCACGTTGGGACACCCCCACGACAGTGCGGTTCTTGATGAAAACCCTGAACTCCAACGCTGGATTCATTTCTACCCATTGGCGCAACACCAACTCGTAGGGAATGCGTGTGTGACAATCTGGCTCCCCACATTCGTTGAATGCATCGTCTATGTCGTGTGCTATATGATCCGATGCATTCAAGAGCAAATATACGTCGGACACATCCTCGCATTTGGTCGTATTGTTAGCCATGATCCATTTGGCGTCCTTGGGCGCCGACCAATTCAACTTGGGACTCACCTTATTCCCCAACTGACGTATGCCATTCTTGATCTCTTCGTGCAACCCGGAAAACTTCTCCGTAGGATTGGTCTGCGCATCTTCTTCGTCATCAGACCAGTCGCTGTACTCGTTATCGCTGTCTGCAACCACTTCATCTCTCTTTTCCTGCGGTAACCGTATACTTTCTGATGACAAATACTCGATGAACTCATCTGGCAATGGCTTTATCACGACCGACTTGGCCACATATGGCCTGAATTTCTGGTACCAATTTGAATATGAACACGCAATAACCTGATCCTTGCTTATTTTTAGCTCCTCGAACACAGAATAGTCTTGACCAGTCATTATAATGCTGTATTAATGGCCATCTAAGCTTCTTCCTAGTCCTCTGCTAAAGACTTATATCCAAGTCACATGAGCATCGGCCAAAATGTTCGCGTCGTTTTTGTGTCATTTAATTTTTTCGAACATCTTTCCATTAAATACACCAACGAAATGATTATAGCAAAACAAAAGAAGGCGTATTCTCCATTATTTCACATTTCTAATCAAATCAATTAGCTTACATTGAAGGATTGTTATATAAGAGTCCAAATTAGGCGCTAGAGGAAAAAAGTATATACAATCAGTAGAAATATGGCACAATCACAAGTAGGTAAAGGATCACCATCCAACGCCACTTTCAGAGATAAAGAAAAGCCACAAGAGGTTCGTAAGAGTAATATCTTAGCTGCTAGAGCTGTATCAGATGCAATTAGAACTTCATTGGGACCAAAAGGTATGGATAAGATGATCAAGACCAAAAACGGCGAAATCATCATTTCCAACGATGGGGCCACGATCTTGAAGCATATGGCAGTATTACACCCGGCAGCACGTATGTTGGTTGATGTGAGTGCAGCACAGGACGTTGAAGCAGGGGACGGAACCACGTCGGTTGCTATATTAACGGGATCATTGTTGGGAGCAGCAGAAAAGTTGTTGAATATGGGCATCCATCCAACGTTGATTTCGGAATCATTCCAAAGAGCTGCGTCCAGATCTGCAGAAGTGTTATTGGAAATGTCGCACAAGATTAGCTTGGACGACAAGGAGGCATTGACCAGAGCAGCATCGACGTCGTTGTCGTCAAAGATTGTTTCACAACACTCGTCGTTGTTGTCACCATTGGCCGTCAACTCGGTGTTGAAGGTTATGAATGAAGAGCGTAATAATGTCGACTTGAATGATATCCGATTAATCAAGAAGGTCGGTGGTACCATCGACGAAACTGAGTTGGTCAATGGGGTGGTATTGACGCAAAATGTTGTTAAAACTGCTGGCGGTCCTGTTAGAGTCGATAAGGCGAAGATCGCTTTGATCCAATTCCAGTTATCTCCTCCAAAGCCAGACATGGAAAACAATGTTGTGGTTAATGATTATAGACAGATGGATAAGATTTTAAAGGAAGAAAGAGCTTACTTGTTAAACATTTGTAAGAAGATCAAAAAATCAAAGTGTAACGTGTTATTAATTCAAAAGTCAATCTTGAGAGATGCTGTCAATGATTTAGCTTTACATTTCTTATCCAAGTTAAATATTATGGTCATCAAAGACATTGAAAGAGATGAGATCGAATTCTTATCGAAGGCAACCGGATGTAAGCCAATTGCTGATATTGACAACTTCGCTGAAGATAGATTAGGTTCAGCTGATGTAGTTGAAGAAATTGAATCTTCTGGCTCAAGAATTGTCAAGATTGATGGTGTCTCTGCAAAGAATGTCAAGCCAACTGTTTCTATAGTCTGTCGTGGTGCCAATCAACTTGTCTTGGATGAAACTGAAAGATCTATTCATGATGCGCTTTGTGTCGTCAGATGTTTAGTCAAAGAAAAGGCTTTAATCGCTGGTGGTGGTGCTCCAGAAATCGAAGTTTCTAGAGTCTTGATGAGTGAAGCTAACAAGTTATCTGGTGTTGAACAATTTGTGTATCAAGAATTTGCCCAGGCATTGGAAGTTATTCCAACGACTTTAGCTGAAAACGCTGGGTTGAACTCAATCAATGTTGTCACTGATTTAAGAAACAGACATGCTAATGGTGAGAAGAATGCCGGTATTTCGGTAAGAAGATCTGGTGCTTCTAATACCTATGACGAACATGTTTTGCAACCTGTTTTAGTCAGTTCTAGTGCTATCACTTTAGCATCTGAATGTGTCAAGTCAATCTTACGTATTGATGATATTGCATTCAGTCGTTAGACTTTATTAATTTCTTAATACCTGTATAAACACATCTACAAAAGACTGATACGAATATATTTAATTACACTTATTAATATATATATATTTACTTGAATATATTCAATTGGGTAAACTATAGGCTCAGCTTGAAGCTGGAACTGGTGTAGCATTATTGCCCGTAGTTAATTTACTGAGTTTCTTCTTCAACAATCTACTAGGATTTAATGCGAAGAAACACTTCTTGTCGACTTTTGCACTTTCTTCACGAGATGTTTGTGGTATTTGTTTGGCTAGTTTAATGCATTTCCTTATCGTTCTAACCAAAGTTTCATATTGTTCTCTTTGCATTTTATGTATATCAGTCTTAGAATCATCTTCATTTGTAGTCTCTAGGTTTGCTTTGTCTTGATTTATTTCAACCGGTGTCATATCTGCCTCTTTGTCATCCTCTTCAACAGTGTTATTCATCACCGAATTATCAGCCTTCAGCTCTGGATCTTCCTTAATCGTGCCAAGTTTTCCCTGAATATTTTCTTCGTCATAGTGGTGTTCTGATAAGAATTTTCTTTTTAAATATCTATCTGTTATTCTCTTATCAATATCATACATCGCAGCAAGGGCAATTTGTGGGGGTGAGAAAAGAAATACAACGTCGCTTAACAATGCATAATCACTTAGCCACTTTTTGGCTTTATCATACATTCCACCAATTGTATCGATATTAACATCGTACATTAAGGGGGTAGGATGTAATAGTACTGCTTGAAAATCGAGGAAAAACCCATATAATGGTCTGAATGGATGGTGGACTAGCAACGTGAATTTCAATGATTGTAAGACTATAAATTCTAAATCAAGAACATCCTTTGGTTCTGTCTTTGGGAGTGCCTTACAAAATGATTCTATTGACATGAAATAATTTTCAGACTTAGCTGCTAGGAAAACACAGGTGTATAATATGTTCTTCGGATGATATTCCATTACTGAGTTTACCAAATAGAACTTCTTGAAAAATGAAACTGCCGTAGCTTTCACCTGTGTCGGCATTCTAAATGAATTAACAACTTTGATAATATTTTCACAATAAAAGTTTAGGTATTTTAATTCTTCTTCTAGTGTAAGTAGATCTAGCAATTTCTCCGATGTTAGTTCGTCTTGATATTTATCAACATCCTCTTTAGATCCTGATTTGAGTTTTAAAAGTGCCTTGTCAAATTCCTCGATAGCGTGCTGTCTACCCTTTTCATTTATCTTCTGTTTAGCTTCTTGCAATGATTCTGAAGTGTAAGACCAAAGCTGATACTGCGTCGATCTTCTATATAAATCATCGACCGTTACCTGAGGCTTCTTTCGTATTGGATGTGATGTTTCATCTTCCTCTATATTCTTACTTGGTTCCCCTGATTCTTTGTCCGCCATTGAAGTTAACTATATGCTATCTAGACCCACTCTTAGTCTAGTAGTGATTCTCTGATGCTTTAAAACAAAATTTCAGTCACGTGAATTCTACAAATGTTTAAATATGCAATAGACATAGATTACTATACAAGTTAATACATACGATATTAAACCAATTTAACAGATCTAGACAAACCTTTCTTAATACCAGTCTTTTCACCTTGGTAAGGACCTCTGTTGCTCGAGTCATAAACTTGCCTAACAGATTTAAGTTTCTTTTGAGCCTTTTCATACTTCTTTCTCTTCTTAACTCTTGAGTTCCTGTTGTCCTTCTTTCTATGAGGAGTAAGACCCTTGTTCTTAAGAATTTGGAAATTGACAGCTCTCTTTCCGTCGTCACCCAATCCATCTTGTAATTCGTCCAATTTGCCTTCCTTGGCCGCTTGCACTGCATCCTCGTGGGCTTTACGACGAGATTCTTGTTTCTGAATTTTGCTTTGCTTCATGCTTTCGTAATAATCATCACCACTGTCCTTGATATCATTGATTTCGTTTGCAAGCTGTTCATCACCAGATCCAACTTCTTCATTATCCAAGTCGTCACCAAGTTGGGCTTTGTCTTCACCCAAACCTCTCTTTCTTGCTTCTTCAATAAGTCTTTGTTGTCTCTCGAATAATCTTTCTTTATACGGTAAATCCAAGTCACCGGTCAAACGTTCACGGTTATTCTTTGCTGCAGCTTGATCAATTTTAGAAGTGTAGAAACGTAAGGTACGCTTACGGCGTTGCTTCTCTTCCATATCAACTTCTTCTGGTGTGGCAACTTCAGTGAAGTCATTAACTACAGCCTTCTTTTTAGATGGTAATTTAAGGTTACGCTTTGAATTGATATCAATATCAAATTCTTGATCTTCATCTTCTTCGCTTTCTTCGTCAGATTCTTCACTTTCATCTTGTAATTCTTCATTATCACCCATCGCATCCACGAAGTTTTCTTCTTCATCGGATATTTCATCTTCTTCGATGGAATCATAAACTTCGTTCGCATCATCAAGTGTCTTTTCGTTGGCAGACATATCAGGTAATTCGTTGGCTTGTCTCCAAACTTCCCTCGATTGTAAAATGCTCTCCATTACAGGACTATCTTTCATAGTAGCAAATGTTTCTCCACTCTTCAAGTTATCCACAAAAATAGCAAAGTATGACGTTATAGCACTCAAATATGCGGACAAGGCCACGATTTTAAGTTCTATTAAATTGTTCCGTTCCTGTTCCTGTAATTGGATTAATCTGGGTTTCAACGCATTTAATTCCTTCAACAATGGAACAAATTCCGGGAATGACGTGTTCAAAAGCTTCAACTTCTCCTTATCGTCTAGGTTATCCAACGCATCAGAATCCCCTTCGTTGATTACCAACTGCAATTTGTTATCATCCTTCTTTTCAAAGTCCTCTGTAACTTTTTGCCAATCATTCATCATCTCATCATCAACATAATCATCCATCGCTAACTCGCTTAAATGCTTCTTTTGTTGTTTTATAGCCTCTTCAGTCATTTGTCTCCCGTCTTCGTCATCACTAGCATCATCACCTCCATAATAATTTTGTCTGCCACCCCATCCTTTTTCTTCTTCTTCTGCTTCTTCTTCCTCTTCATCCTGCGAGTTACCTTCGTCACCTTCCTCGGCACCTTCTGAATCAGATCCTTCACTTTCTTCACCTAATTCCATAACTTCCTCATCCGATGATTCGTCCTCATGTCCACCATTTCTTGGTCTGTAATCTCCTGCTTCATTTAACAATATCTTCTCTTTATTTGCATCAAATGCATCTACTTCATCTAAATCCACATCTTCGTGAACCTTGGATTTTCTCGATCTAGCCATCACGAATTATATGCTTTATATTTATGCTTTATATTGAAGGAATAGTTCTTTTGATAGTATACTCATCGCTAAAATACCTAACCAAAAAATTATGCGGCTTGAATTTTTTTTGCTACTAAATTTTGTGTAACGTCTAATAAGTGAAAAGTTTATGCAATCGTACCGTTGAAAGGATCTACTAACTACTCTAGATAAGGATATCAAGCCGGAATGTCTAATAGATTGGAGTCATTGAATTCTAAAAAACCATCTTCTAGTCCCAAGCCTTCTTTAAGGTTTAAGCCAAAGGTTGTGGCCAGAAAAACTAAAGAAGAGAGGGCAAAAGAAGCACCTCAAATCAAGCAAGAAAATGGTGATTATAAACCTCCAGGAAGAGACCATACGTCAGGTAGAGGTGGACACAGTAAGCGTGGAGGCCGTGGAAATTATAGTGGAACACACTTGGTGTCTGCGGGACCTTTGGCATCGGGATCAGTATCTATAGGTAATGTCAATGGATCTAAGCTAGGTTTGACTAGAGATAAATCGTATAACTCGGTATCACCTACGCCCGAATTTTTGCAAAGTTTGAAGTTAAAAGACCTGAAAGTGAGATCAAAGTCTCCTACCCCTGCCAGGGATGAGGAGTCAGACGAGGAAGATCCTACCAAAATTGACATGAACAAAGAATACAGATTTGCGGATGAGGAGACGATATTATTCCCAGTTAGACCAGAAAGAGATGAATACATAGCTGATACCGTAATTCCACCTTTACAGTCAAAGGATCCTTCTGCAGAACCCGAATCCAATGAAGAATTCGAGGCAGAACCTTCGCCTGTCAAGGATGAGCCAATTGAGGCTAAATTAGAACAAGTCAAAGAACATAAGGCCCACCTTGAAACAAAAATCACGGAAACGGTTGATGTATTGAATAAGGAAGAAAAAACTAAGATAGTAAGCGACCATCAGGCTATTTTGGACTTGGTGACAGACAAACTCGATGGGTTAAATACCGATTCTAATGATAACACGACGGAAAACAACAATTATACTTTATTCCACTTACCGAACGTTTTACCCGAATATTATAATCAGGAATCTACCACTGAACAGCATAACACGGAGGAAGAAGGCAAAACGACTAACTTCGCATCCAATGTTACACCATTGCGTGGTCAGATTGGGCACTTAAACATTCATAAATCCGGTAAAATTTCAATCAATTTGGGTAATAACAATAACCTTGCAGTTTCTCAAGGTTCTGCTGCCCATTTCTTGCAAGAAGTTATAATGCTTGAAATGAACGAAGCCGATAATAAAGAAGACGTTGAAATGATGAATGAAGATGGTGAGAAGATCAAAGGGAAATTGTATCGTTTAGGTCAAGCAGATGGTAAAATTATTGGAACACCAGCGATTCATTGAGCATTTAATTAAATACATTGTATATTATTTTTCATTATAAATATTTCAAAGAAATCATTAAATTGGTATTTGTGTAGGTTATTCTTCAATAAGCTTGGTCACAAAATAAGAATGCTATTACTTTGTTACGTGGTTATTAATTTTCTTATTAATGCTATACATGTTATATACATAAATTAATGCTCTAATAATTTCGAAGTCAATGCTTCCAAATCTTCTAATGTTTGTGGCTCATCATATTCAACAACTCCATCGTCTTTATCCTTATTGACATTCTTATCATTGTCAAACCATTTTGGCTTCTTAGGTCCTGGAACGTCTTCATCTTCACTAGAATATTCCAAATCGCGATCTAAATCAATATCATCACCACCAATAGAAACTACAGTTTGAACATTCTCATCTTCATCTTCACTTTCTTCTCTCATATATTTTTCCATTTCCTTTCTCTTTCTCTTCTTTTCTTGTCTCTTCTCTTTAGCAGTCAATTTATCTTCAATATCTGCGTTGTTCATCAACTCAGTTTCCTTGTTCAAAAATGTGTCTTTTTGCACCCTAGCATCACCTTGCTTCCTGAAATCTTCTTCATCTTCTAATTCGTAAATTGCATGTGCTACTCCATCGTCATCGAACTTCAATTTATTAGCATTTCCTTTACCTGCAACAGATGCCTTTTTAGAGAGCGCTTTCTTGGCCAGTCTTTTAGAAACTGGGATAGATAAATCAGGTAACTCGTCATCTCTCAATTCGTGATCTTGACGTTTGACAGCCATAAAATCTTCGTCCTCGTCATCACTCTTTTCTGCTGTATCAGCCTTATTACCAGTCAAATTCAAATAATGATCAGATAAAATGGTTTGATTCTTTCTTTCAAACATACGATCATATTTGGTTCTAACCTTTTTATCTTCCTCTGGGACTAGATCTCCCTCATTATTAGCCTTTGACAAAGCAGATAATTGTCTTGACATGTTTTTCTTTTCCTTATTATCCGATCCACCTTTAAACTTGATTTTTGGGGCACCTGGCAACCCTAAGGATCTAGCAAATTTATCAGAAGGCAACTCGTCAATTTTGAAAATATCCTTATCTTTTTGTACATAGACAGATCTGAAGTAAGAAATAAAAGCTCTTTGACCTAAATTCTTAATCATAGGATCTTGAAAACACAATGATTGCAATTGTGGTCGAATAGTTTTTTTGTTCTTTTGCTTTATATTCATAAATTTGAGCTCAATTTTATTATTGTTCAATCTTTTCAACATACCATTCTCTTCCGATGGCAATAACATCATAAGTGACTTACCAGCACGTCCAAAACGAGCCGCACGTCCAACTCTATGAACATATGTTGCTGCATCCTCTGGGCAATCAATTTGAACAACCCAGTCAATTGCAGGAAAATCCAATCCTCTTGCAACAATATCAGTTGCAAAAAGACATGCATGCTGTGCCTGTGAGAATTTCACCGTTGTTTCCATACGCGAAGTTTGTTTATGACGACCATATAACTTCAATAACGATATACCTGGTTGTAAGGTACGGAATGTTTCGTACGCATATTGGACTTGTTTCAGTGAAGAAAAAAATACAAGTATTTTACTCTTTAAATGTGACTTTATGAAAGACCATAAGACATCAAGCTTCTCATCCAAGGGAATCTTAATGTAATATTGTTCCAAACTTTCTGGTGTAGCAGACAATTCTTGGTCAGATGAAATACCAATTCTTTTTGGATTAGCTAAAGATAATCTTGCCAAATCTTTAACACTATCTGATTGTGTCGCAGAAAATAACAAGGTTTGTCTAGTCGGAGGTAAATGACCCAAGATATTATCAATTTGTTTTCTAAATCCCATATCCAAACATCTATCGGCCTCATCCAAGACTAATACTTGTAAATTAGATGTCTCCATCCCTACTGACTCGTTCAAATGTTGAGATATTCTACCTGGTGTACCAACCAATATATTCATTTTGGAAACTCTTTCTTTCTCATACTTGACATCCTTCCCACCTGTAACAAGACCAGCAGAAAAATTGTTATGTTTTCCTATTTTAACCAAAACTTCAAAAATCTGCACTGCTAACTCTCTAGTTGGCGATACAATCAACGCAGCAAGTCCATCGTATTCGGTAATCTTGTTTCTTATCAAAGATTCAATAGTTGGTATTAAAAACGCAAGAGTCTTACCTGACCCAGTTTTTGCAGTACCCATAACATCTTCCCCCTTCAACGAAACTGGAATCGTTTTCTTCTGAATATCTGTTAATGATACAAAGCTTGCTTCTTTCAAACCCTTGGCTGTTTCTTCTGAAATTGGAAGGTCACTAAACTGTGAAATCAGCTTCTCGTCCACTACTGGGTCATAAGCATCAATTCTTTCTTGTAATTTGGCTAATGTTTCTTCTTCCTTCTCACGATGCGATTTACGTTGCGACTTCACAACCTTACGGTTATTCTGCTTCTTACCCATATTTCTATATCTTATCTTCTACTAATTTGAGCTAGTTTTTCGATCCATAGTATTAACACCATCTCATCTCTCTTGTGCGTATAGAACCAAAAAATTTTTGGATAGTATATATATGCAGGATGGTTTATATGTATGTACGTATTTGCATCTATAGAAGGTAAGCTAATGCTAGAGTCCTGGAGGTATTTGCTACTCTCGAGTATAGTCAAAGCAATCTTTTGTTCGTTGTATATGTTTCGAGTCTATAGTAATTGGTTTAAATAAAACGCACCGTTTGTGGCCTATGCATTGTTAATGAAACCTTGGGGTGTTCAGTCTTTCTCAAAGAGATTCTAGAAACAAGTTACTATGCTGATTTCTGGGCATCTATTTATACATCCAGATCGTGGAAAGTCATGTCAATTGACTAAAAATTGAGTATTTCTGAATACTGCAAGCACAAGTCGCCGTATTTGTCTAATAATTTTGAATCTAAAACATTGCAACTCATATTACCGCGGGGGATATTGTATTTCGAAAGAACACGTTCAAAAGGCTCCAGCAATGAACTGTTTTCTAGCACATTGGACTCGTGGTCAACTTCGATTTGAATTAACAATCCTTTGAATATACCATGGAGGAATACATTCGAGGTTCTTATGATTAAACTTCCGTTCTCTAGCTCGTATATTTGGCCACCGTCTCCTTTGATGTTCTGCTTCTGTGTCCATAAACTCTGCATTTTTTGATTCACAAAAAAGTCAAACGTGTCGTTCAACCCCGTAGTAGCCCCTTGATGCAAGTGGCTATCCGGAATGGAAAATTCGGTTACATTCAGAATTTCGGCCGACTCTTCCTCTATAACATTACTGAAGACGCAAGCAGAATTCTTATTAATCAACGAAATACAAGACCCCACTAGGTATGATGGTGCTAGTGTATACAAAAATTTGGATTCCGACGATGTCACACTTGTCTCTGCTAGCTCAGGAGCAATAGAATATGGATTATTCCTAAATATTTTAAAACTGAAACTCCATTTACCTTTAAGCGTTGGTAACTCGTTAGACAATTGATCGTGGAATTGAACTATCGTTTCTGGGGTAGCCTTCTGTATCAAAATGAGCCTATTTCTTTAGTTAGTACTATAATCTTTATTATTAAAAACTTCATGTATCTTCAATCCTAACATACGCTGATACCATTATTGTATTCTAAGCGGGTGATCTCTCCTGGTGTCTTTATATCGATCCTTTAACCAATTTGTTTCGACCTGGTTATTTGTTCATAAATCTTGGTTATGTGGCCCGAGGTCAGTTTTTTTTTTCAGACTTGAGAAGAGCATCTACAACTAACACTAGTCAGAAGGTATTATAATCGTTTAAAGCGTCAAAAAGAGGATATGACGACAGGAGACTGTGTTAAACAAGAAGCTATATTTGCTGGTGTGAACAAACAATCGTTTGTTGCTGACTATTGCTCAAAAGAACAGATAGTAGCATACGGAGCATCAAATAATGTTGCATTATGGAAACCATTATCCAAAGATAACAAAGGGACCTACAGTACATTAAAAAAACACACAAAGGAAATCACAGGCATAAGATTTATTCCAAATAGTCCATACTTAGTATCAGCGGCCGAGGACTTTGAAGTAAATGTTTGGAAAAAACAAGGAAATGAATATGGTCACCACAGCAGTTTAGAATTCCACCAACATTCTATTACTTGTTTATCAGTAATCAACGAATTTATATTTGCCACAGGAAGTGCTGATGGATATATTGCATTATGGGGAGTGAATAACGAGACAGAAGAATGGGGTTTGGTACACAGTTTTCAAGTTAAATCCAATTTCTATCCGATGACATTAGCATTACAAGATGTGGATGCCCATGGTGGCTACGTCTTAGCGGTGGGAGGTACTACGCCAATGGTCTATATTTATTCATTTACGTTATTATCAGATCACCGTAGTATTTCACATTTTGGTCAATCAGCCACATTAACGGGACATGAAGATTGGATCAAGTGTCTTAACTTTGTAACGGAAGAAAAATACCAGAACTACATATTAGCCAGTGGGGCGCAAGACAGATACATCAGATTATGGAGATTGAAGTTGAATGATCAGATCGATGATTCAGATGAAGATGAACTGAAATTGATTCTTTTATTCAACAAGCAGTACAAATTCAACGTAGGAACTTCTACCAGGGCTGCGATCAGTTTTGACGCCCTAATTATGGGTCACGATGACTGGGTTACAGGTCTTCAATGGCACCCATCGTACCAACAGGAATCTGGTGAAAAGAGATTGCAATTATTATCCTCGAGTGCAGATACTGCGTTGATGGTATGGGAAATGGATACTGATTCAGGTATCTGGTGTTGTGTTAATAGATTAGGTGAAATGTCTATCAAGGGTGCTTCCACCGCCACTGGCGCATCAGGGGGGTTCTGGTCATGTTTATGGTTCAGCGATGATCAACATCAATATATCTTGGCTAATGGTAAAACTGGTTCATTTAGAGTATACAAAACCGTGGACAAAGAGGCTAAGACATGGGAAGCTGTTTTGGGTGTAACTGGTCCTACCAGAGAAGTTACCGACTTAGTCTGGTCTTTAAATGGTGAGTATTTCAGTACGACTTCTTTAGATCAGACTACAAGATTGTTTGCTCCATGGGTGAAGAACAGGGATTTTAAGACGTGGCATGAATTCGCTAGACCCCAAATCCATGGCTATGATATGATTTGTTTGGATAACATCAGTGCAACCAAATATGTATCTGGTGGTGATGAAAAGCTTTTAAGGGTGTTCGAAATGACACATTCTATTAGCAGATTATTACACAACTTCTGCGGTATTGATATTGTTTCCAGTGAATCCCAAGAGGAATTACCGGAGTCTGCCTCATTGCCTGTATTAGGTTTGTCTAATAAGGCTGCTAATGAACAGCTTGAGGCAGGTGATATGTCTCAACAACAGCAAGACATGGAAGAAAATGCCGAGGAAAACACACCTAAAGAGGATATTCTAGAATCATTAATATCTCCTCCATTAGAGGATCATTTACAGAGATACACTTTGTTCCCAGAAATAGAAAAATTATATGGTCATGGATACGAAATAACATGTTGTGCTACGTCTCCGTCTGGTTCATTGATTGCATCAGCCTGTAAATCTAATAATGCAAGACATTCAGTCATTCGTATATTCAATGCTGCAGAAGAATACCAGCAATGTGCACAAGTATTAGAAGGACATAACCTAACAGTCACAAGTTTAGAGTTTTCTCCCGATGGCCAGTACTTAATGTCTGTTTCGCGTGATAGACAATTCTCGTTATGGAAAATAATTGACGAGAAGGCAGGTAAATTCGAACTTCTTGAGCTTAATGCAAAAGCACACAGCAGAATCATTTGGGATTGTTCGTGGGCTCCTTCTACCCCATACGGCAATTTCGTCGTTACCGCTTCCCGTGACAAGCAAATAAAATTATGGCAAGTAAAGGATAAAGTCGAGGTCATCGCTGCTATCAAGTTGCAAGATGCTGTTACGTCTGTTTCCTGTTACAAATCTGGTTTGCTCGATACTAAGATACTGCTTGCAGTGGGTCTAGAGAATGGTGATCTTTCTTTGTTTAGTGTGGATCTCAATGAACCAGAGAAACATTTCAAATTAAACTTGAAGTTTGATTCTACACTAACTCCTGCCAGTAGAGTCGCTAAGTTAAGCTTTAGTAGCAAATTTCATGACAATAACAAGAATTTAATGCTTGGTGTCGCAAGTAACGACACATCCGTGCGTATTTATAGTATAAACAAGGAAATTTTTGTATAGTTCTTTCCTCCAAGGTTAAAATAACTTAATAATCCCTCTGAATATAGAAGAATAATACAATTGACATCAATGTAACCAAGTTCAGGTAGATGATTTCGAAGCATATATGATTGAGCATTTTTGTGTCATATAGATTTTGTGTCAATTTTTGGTTGATCAAATCAACCCCCAAAGTTGGAAGTTAACGACACGAAATAACATCAACCAAATAATCATCAATTATAAGTATAAATTATTGAAATCTCATAGCAATGGCCGACAAATTTCCAGCTTTGGATTCTATAGATAACAAAGTACCAACAAACGATTCCACCGAGGATGTTGGAGAAAGTGATTTCTTATCTCGTGAAAAGGAACTTCTTGGTGATGAATTCAAGACTGAGGACGATAAAGATGCTTTGGAAGGGAGTGACGATGAAATAAATGACTTCAAAGAACAATTTCCTGATGTCGAAGATACTAATGCGGATGAAGAAGAAGAAAGTGAAACAGAAGATAAAGGATTCGATGACAATGAAAATACCGGATTTTCCAGCCACGCAAGTGAATCTATCGAAGATTCCAAGCCTATAAAAGAATGGAGAGAACGCCGTGATTTGGAAATTTCTGAAAGAGAAAATGCCAATTCGAAGAAGAAGGAAGGAATTATTTCCAAGGCTCAAGAAACAATTGATGACTTTTACGAAAACTATAACAACAAAAAAGAAAAACATTCGAAAGACATTTTGAAGGAACAAGAAGAATTCTTAGAGAAGAGAGATGGCTTTTTGAAGAGTGGCACCTTATGGGATAGGGTCAATGAGTTAGTTGAAGATGTCGGTGAATTACCAGATGATGGTAATAGAGATAAGACCAGATTCAAGAACTTATTAGGTAAATTAAAAGGAAAGGAAAATGCTCCAGGTGCTGGTGGTTATTAGTGTTAGATTTTTCTGTGTAGAGTTCTGTGTCTTCGGCACAAAATAGTTTCTTGATTTACTTGTAATTATTAGTCTTCATATTAAAATATATATTGAGTACGAAAAATAAAATGAGTAAATATTGTATGCCATAACTACATGACTTTATTGATCAATCTAGGTAAAGACTCCTGTTGTAACTCTTCATATTTCTTTCTCTGTTCACCATGCACATTCCTCGCTAAAAAATCATTCAAATTCATCAACTTGAACACACCAAAGCACATTAATACTGCTTCAAGTCTATTCCAGCTCTTCAATTTTAATAATCTGAATTGTGGGTGGTTTTCCTTAGCAACCCTCCACTTGGACAATAAAATAAGGCGGAACAAATACGAACTCAAATAGTTGATAAAACCTTTGGAAATATGGCGAATATTAGTAGATTCTGTCGTATCATCAGAAGCTTCTAATTTATACCCATAGTCAGGTATAAAGTTTGCCGAATTAATATAAAGAGTGACGATTCCTGCCACAAACCCTATCACTTTCGTATAACTCTTAAAGAACAACTTAACATGTGATAAATACCATCTATTAGTAGCAGGATGAGACGGGTTCCGTAAATATACTAGCAACGGAGATGTTAGCGAGATAAGCAACATGGATATTAAGTTCGGCAAGTAAATAAAGTTAATTAATGAATTAGCTCTATGGCCAGCATAGGTTAAATAATTCTTAACAATCCCTGATACTGTCGTTCCTGCTTCGCCATTGAGGAAAATACCATGCTTTAATTCATAAAAACGATCCAAAAACCTACTTTTAAACGACGCTAATCCAAAGAACAAGTATGCCATTACATTATGTTGCACGTAAGTCGTGATTAAGCCTAGCCAGTTAATTCTGTGAGATTTAACGCCAAGGGAGAAGTTAATCCAAATCGGATTTAATATTATAGTCTTCAAATAACCTGATAAGTATCTTTGGTTCAACTTGTACCTTGTCGGAGTCAAGTAATTAGATAATATTTGTCCGAAAATCATTGGATAAATTACATACTCCTTGTTCGAATACAATGTCCTTAAGGTCTTCGAATATGTATCTATCTTCGTAAAACGTGAAAATCTGGATAGACTTACGTTCCCAGCTGAAGGAGGGTTTAAATTCACAATATAGTTGACCAATATATAGATCGATAAGTAATCTTTAGGTATCCTAGCATTATCAGCAACAGCAAAGTACAAAAAGCAACAAGATGCAATATTAGAAACTTTAGCAATATGCTTTTCAACATTTTCAGACTGCATTTTCTTTGCAATCAGTTCATAGTTCATAGTGACAATACGGCGTATAAACGGATTCAATGATAAGAAACTTGACCATAGTAAGGGTTTACGAATTCTTGCAAGCAACAAGATGATTACCCATTTGGCCCATTTCTGAATAGATGGATCTAGCTGGTTCATTGATACTTTGACAAATACACACCAATAATGCTGATTTATTTTATGGCTTTAATCGGTTTAGAAATAGATACGCGATATTCACATTCAAAAATCATCAACACGGAAAGGAATCAGGATATTTATTTACTATATACTTAAATATGAATGGATCAACATCATCTGACGCGGTTGATCCAGGTTTGGTCGCTACAACCCCTTCTCCAGTCAAGCAGTCATTAACGGGTTCTGACACATTCAGTAAAGATGATAAACAAATAACACCGTCCATTAGACGGTCCAATTCTACAAGATCCAAAGGTATAAATTTTAACGTTGCTATATCTCCTTTAGCTTCAGGCCAAACTCCTCCTTCTCTGAAGGGTGGACATAGGAAAACGGCATCATATGATGCAAAAAATTTACATTTACCTCAGCTACCCGAATCATCGCCTAGTTCTAGCACGCCGGATTCACCAATTCCATCAGCTTCAGAAGAATTAAAGTATGACCTTCCATTACCACTGACGGAACAGCTCATGGGCTTGGACATAGACGATCAATTAAGGTTACTTGCGTTAAAGGAAATGAGCATAGTAGAAATAAAGGATAGTATAGGAAACCTAACTTCCAAATTGCAGAGAAACGAAAGCGAGTTGCATAGCCTACGAGAAGTCATACAGAGGTCATTATATAAAGAATTGAATTCGTCAAGCTCAAAGCTGAAAAAGGAGACACTGTCGAATGGATTTGTCACTAGACCACAAAGACAGAATAGTAATCCTCGAGAAGAGGCGATAGCAAGTACCAAAAACAGAAGTAGAAGAAGAACTTTATCTTCCTCATCAAGTGGTGTTCCTCCAGTCCTACTGTCACAGCAATTATCGCAAAATACAGATAAACAATCCCGAAGAAACTCTACGTTATGGAGCAATCTATCGAAACCGTTGAATCTAATACAGCAATTTGACTCAATGCTACAACATGAATTCGAGAAATCTATGATTCCACAGCAAAATCAAGAGGGTTCAAATAAAACTATCGATTCACATAAATCAAGGCATTCAGAGGATTCAGTTTCCAGTGTGGGCTCAGTATCTTCGCCTTTAAATTCAAAATCCAAATCATTCACTGAGAAACAATCTAATGATGAGTTAGATCAGTATTTTGCTCTGCAATCTGCGTCGGACACATCAAAAGATAAACGTGATGGTTTAGTCTCAACCGAGAATCATATGAATTCAGATGACATGATTCAAGCTGTCTCATCTTCGATCTGGTCATTTGTTAACGATGTCAAGACGAATGTACTATCATCACTAGCGGACGAGGAAGTGCCTGAGTCTAGAAGCCATGTAACTAAGGGACCACTGGGTTTCACAAACAGTAACGACCAAAAAGAAATTAACGATCTCACAGTATATAATTTGGATACCGGATCTACAGTAAGCCTCGATAAGAATGAGGATTCAGATCTAGATTATACATTTGTTCATAATACGGCCAATGAAGGCGGAACGGCCGTAGACCACGATAAAAGCAAAAATGACTAATGAAGACACGAAATGCTAACGGAATCAACGTTCTATTCGATTCTTTATAGAACTATTTATTTATTTAAATTATGAAACTATTCACGAGCCGATACGGAAATTTTATACCAATATACGCATATCACAAACCGTGCTACACTATAGGCTCTGCAACCCCTTAACTAATTCTGATTGCCTCTTGTCATCTAATTCTTTGCCACTAAGATCGCCAACTGATCTTAAATCCTTCATTACGATATCCCTCAACTTGTCAAAATACACATCTTGCAATAAGTTTCTCAAATTATACTCCGATTTTTCGATCAAGGTACCCAAATTTATTAAATGAGCTGTTTCTACATTTAATGCCGCGTCTAAGCTTAATGATTGCGTCGATTCTAATTGTCTTGTTAAACTGCCTGCAAGCGACAATGATGACAGATTTTTATTTTGCAAGTCAAGTATAACCGACGATGTGACTTTGTATGTTGCACTGCTTGATGTTTCTGGGATAACCTCGATCACATGAATTGAATCCCATTTACCTGATCCATCTTCTGTTTCCTTCTTGAACAAGACAACACCTGCAAACCCGTTGTCTAAAGTTTCTTGCTCGTCATCTTCTTCATTTGTGTCCCAGAAATACACTGACGAAGTACCCGCTCCCTCATAATACAAGTCACGGTAAATATCAAAGCTGTCATTGGCCTTGACTTCTAATTCTCTTAAAATGTTCGATGGAAATGGAGGTGGTAATTCATCCGAATCTTGTGCCACTACTGGGAAATATTTATTCGACCATGGAGATCTGTACGAGTCACCATCTCTATTGTAATCACAGCACAAATATTCTTTGCCTGTTTCATCACACTTTTGTGTGCGTAATGGAACATCTACCGACGATAACAAATCCTGGGTCAATTCTTCACTAGTTTCAGACCCATCGTTTTGAATAAGCGTACATATATCGTTCAAATTCTTGGTTATATTCTTTGGATCCAACCGTCTCATCAAATCCAACGAGGCATCTAATTTATCATCATACGAAGTCATAGTGTAGTCAATTGATTAAGTTAGTGCTCTACCTGTTGATCCGTCTTGACAAGGGATTTATACAAACGATATTTCGATTTTGTGTCATGTTGATTCATAGAAGCCATTTTTTGCAATTTCATAATTACGACATCCTCCGACGGGTATCGATAGAACTACTATTTCAAGTCCTTGTATCTGGTAATATTGCCTGTATTTCAGTTGCATTGGTGTCAATTGCGAGAAAACTGGTGCTACGGAAAGCATTTTATCGATTAATAAGACGCTACACACAAACTCATACAGACAAAGCAAATGTTAATTTAAAATGATAGATCTTGTAGTCGAGAGTGACATCTAAGTATCTACATATGCTTCGTATTATCTATGGATGATTTTGGTGTATATTTCAGTATTTGTCATAACTTAAACAATTTTTCAAAAAAAAGGTTTAATGCATACATATATTAGCATATGTCGTGTTGCAAAAGTTATACATCATGGTTGCAAAAGTTGGTGTATAAATAGAAGTGATTATCCCCTGAGTCTGGATAGACGAAAGGAAAGAAGGAAATTAGGAACTAATTATAGGTAGTTAAAGTTAGTTAGTTAGCTAAGAATAAAGTAAGTAAGTTCTATTTGGTCTATTAGAACATATATATAATGTACAGAATATAAGTAATTACCATATTGGTCCCCAGTTTCCTTACACCACGCAATGTTTAGAAGTTCCAAGCTTTTACTTCTACTAACAGATGCATTCGTTCGGAAGACACTGAACTAAATCACCGATTCGTGTTAATCTAATTAAAAAGTCTCCCAAGTGCCATACAGTTCTTGGGCGGTGGTTCCGGCCGAATACCTAACAATACCCTCCCATATATAAATAACTACAAATTATTGTCATTTTAATCAGTAACAGTTAACAACTCAATATAATAATGGCTCAACAAGATAAGATTATTTTGCATTGGTATGTATAATTACTACGACAACCCGAGCTTATTGGTGTCGCATACTAACTATTTAAGGCTTGAAATATCAAGATCTCACAGAATCTTGTGGTTATTAGAAGAATTGAACCTCGAATATGAACTAAAGGTATACAGAAGAACCAGGGATCCATCAATGTCCCTTCTCCGTGCACCACTGGAGTTAAACAAAATTCGCCAATTGGGGAAATCACCTGTTATCGAGATCATTAAGCCGGGTAGGTCCACTCCTGTCATATTGGCCGAAACAGGATATATTATGGACTATTTGATCAAACATTATGACACCGAACAAAAGTTGGTTCCTAATAACGAAGATGACAGAGAATTGGTCAACTACTACTTGCAATTTGCCGAAGGTAGTCTTCAGCCATTCTTGGAGTCATTGTTGGTCAACAATATGGTCACAAAAATGGCACAACATGGAGTTGACTCAGTTAACAAAGCGATCCAGCAATCAATAGTTTTTATTACGGCCCAGAGTTGATGAAAGCCCTTGACTTTTTGGAAGATAACTTGAACAGGAACAACGGCAAGTATTTTGCTGGTGATAAATTGACGGGTGCAGATATAATCTTGAGTTACCCAATATGCGATAACATATTCAGCGATCCCGAGAGAGCAAAAGTAATAACTGGTGGTTTTGATGTTATTACCAAATATCCAGCCATGAAGGCCTGGGCCGATATGATTATTAAGGAACCTAAGTTGTTCAAGGCTTACAAAATTGTCAACTCCAAGCTTAATACATCGTAGTTGTAAACTATATAATCATTTAGGAGTATTTTTCAGTAAAACTTCAAGTTTATAATTTATAAATGTATACCCTTAACTAGTATGAATTCACAAATCTTATCTTCGTAATGGTACAATTTTTCCAGTATAAATATATTTATCTACCGACCCTCAACTTAGTCTATAACATACAGATCCTTTTGGAAACCGTGGTGGTACAAACAAGTCACCATATTAATTGATGCAAAATCTCCAAGGTATCATTATATGGCTTTCGGATCTGGTACGAATACCTAAGCGATTTATCCTGTATAGACTACTACACGCTTTCTCCGGACCCGTTTCAACAGGGTTTTCCTTCCTTCCTTTCTTCGTTCATTCCAGCTTGATCATAGAATTGTAATGTTATCTGATGAAAATACGAGACTCTTAGAAAGAAGCTCCAGTTTGCAAATCCCTGCTTCAAGAGGTGGCTCTCCGGGGCCAAGTTCCAACAGACTCAAACGACCACCATTGATTGCAATCCCCACATCACAATCGATACGAAGCTTAAGAAGCATGAATAATATTAATGATCCGTTGGTTAACTCATTTATTTCAAATAAGAGTAAAAATGGTTATTCCAGAGGTGAAAATAGTGCTGCAGATGAACTTGACGAGTCGATCTTCAAATCTAGGTTTTGGAACAAATTTAGTCGGAACGAGGCAGACGATTCGTTTGATTTTTACTCGTACGTTTCATATTATTGCCCAATTTTAAAATGGTTGCCCAATTATGACGCTAAGAATAATTTTTTGGGAGATTGTTTGGCGGGTTTATCACTAGCGAGTTTTCAAATTCCGTTGGTCATGTCGTTTAGTTTGTCTCTTGCTCATCTTTCACCGGTTTCGGGTCTATATGGAATCGTCATCGGAGCATGTGTTTATTCCATCTTGGGGTGTGTTCCTGTCTTGATCGTGGGGCCGCTGCCGTCTACGGCTTTGATCTATGGAGAAGCCATTGATGCTATAAGACAGTTTCCAAATTTTGCAGAACTTTCTAAATTGCAGATCTCGTCTGCAATTTCCGCAGCCATGAGTGGCTTATTACTCGGAGCTGGTATATTTCGTATGGGATTCTTGGATAATGTTTTATCAAGGGCTTTATTGAAAGGTTTTATTGCAGCAATAGGTTTCATTATGATCATCAACGAATTATCAACCGAGTTGGGTATTGGTGATTTGATATTAGACAATCCATATCTGACGACTTTTGACAAACTCATATTTGTTTGTAAATTTGCCCGCCAATCTCACATATTCACCATGCTTGTGTCATGTATCACGTTGGGCCTTGTTCTAAGCATTAGAAAACTCAAAAACACATTAATAAATAACTACCACATAAGACAAGCGGTTCTCATTCCAGAGCTATTCTTAATGGTCCTGGTTGCAACTTACCTCAGTTGGAGGTTTCAATGGCATTCAGAATATGGGGTTGAGATAATCGGTAACATTCAGTCATCTACACCTGGCTCGAAATCTATGGTTAAGTTCATGAATCCTTTTAAGTTATCTTTAATTCCATTATATAGAAAAACATTTTCAGCTTCATTTTTATGTACTATATTGGGCTACTTCGATTCCACTATAGCTACAAAGGCACTTGGAGCGAAATACAACTATAATGTTTCATCGAATAGAGAATTAATTGCATTAGGAGCTACTAACTTCGTGGTAAGTTTGGTAGGAGGAATACCAGCATTTGGTACTTTTGGCAGATCAAAGATTAATATTTTGTCGGGTGCTAATACCCAAATGGCAAGTTTAATGATGTCCATGGTAACCGTCTTGGTAATCATATACCTATTGCCTTTGCTCTATAATTTACCCAAATGTGTTTTAGCATTGAGTACTACAATTATCGGTATTACTGTGTTGGAAGAAGTTCCGTCTGATTTAAAATTCTTCTGGAACATCGGCGGATATGACGAAATACTCACCTTTTTATTTATTTTCTGCACCACAATTCTATGGAATGCTGAAGCTGGTGTTTTATCTGGTACTGCATTTGCAATCATTAGAATTATTAAGCATAGTACCAGATCCCGGATTCAAATATTGGGTAGAGTTCCAAACACCGCAGTGTTCCGTAATGCGGACGAATTAATAGAAGAAAGCTTTGTAACATATGCTAATGATTCCGACTCCATGAACCAGGAAGGAACAAGCAGCGACATAGAGGACTCTACTGACAAATTGATGAACTTGATAGCCGAAATTGAGGAAATCGAAGGGGTCTTGTAATCAAAATTCCCGAACCACTTAATTTTGCAAACGTGGGAGACTTGAAAAACAGGTTAAATAGAATAGAAAAATACGGTTCTCTTTTGATTCATCCTTCGCAACCCACAAGGCGAGACTTCAACAATACGACCATCAAGTTCATTATTTTTGATTGCAAAGGTATGAATGCAATCGACTCGTCTGCTACCCAAATTTTATACGAAATCATTAAAAAGTACATCGAGGTTAACGAAATCTCCGTATGTTTTTCAAGAGTAGCAATGAGTAAAGATATACGTCATAAGTTTAAAAAGCTGGGGATAATCGATCTTGTTAATAATAGTTATAAAGCCTACGAGAATTCAAATAATGTACGCAGCAAACCTGCTTCTGAAAACGGAAGTTCTACTAATTTATATTCATATGGAACCTCTTCTGGTATGGAAGACGGTTTCTTCCTTAGCATAGATGAGGCCATAAAGGCGTTCGGCTTACAAAATGTTTAGTTATGTAATATTACATATTTTCCATAATCACCAGTCACGAGAGACTCAATTGTAATTCTGCGACTGAATCTACTGAGAGAACGACAAGGTCTTGGTCATAGCTTGCTGTGTACTGAAGTATAATAGAGCTACTGTATTTATTCTTTTTCCAAATAGGTTGTGTAACCATAGTTATTCATTTTATGAAGTTTCATATTCCTAGCTAAATGTTTTCCAGGATAAAAATAATTAATACCGCAATTTTTTCAAGGGCCTTTAGTTCGAAGGTTCCGAGAAGCAACAAGTCTTTTGCATTTTATGACTTAGTATGTCGTACTCCAACACATCCAAGAGAGCCTATAGAGGCATTGCTTATGACTGATCGAGATTTGAAAAAGTTGAAAAAAAATACAAAGACGACATTTGAAGGTAACTATGCGATTGACGAATCAGTATCGGCAGAGGAAAGAATAGCCAAGGTTTTTGGAGGAAGAATAAAAGGGGAATCGCCGCAATCTTCTAGTAGGGTTCGTGTGGGAGAGCCTAAGGTGATTGCGGGTGTTACAGTGCCCGACAAGCCAACCGAACCAGATAATTGCTGCATGAGTGGGTGCATTAATTGTGTGTGGGAATTGTTCAATGACGATTTAAAGCATTGGAATGATAAACGTAAGGAGGCAGCACTGAAATTGAAACAAAATGGTGGAAGATGGCCCGAAGATTTCCATGCTCCGGTGAAATATTTGGATCGTCGCAACTTGCCCCAGTCATTGGCTAATGCCGACGTTTCAGAGGAGAACAAGAAACCAGACCTGGATATATGGGGAGATGTGCCTATTAGTATCAAGGTCTTCGTAGAAACGGAAAAGAAAATGAAGGCCAAAAGGAAAAGAAGAGCTGCTGCGTCAAGTTCATCAGCTCCAGTCTCTTAAATTTGTAGACATCTATTGCATTTATATATCTTTATCTAGTCTTATAGTATCACTAATATCATTAGTCATATATTTATACGTATACGCATAAGAAATAATCTATTGCCATACAACATATTTATGGTATTTATTGATCTAAATCAATTCCCTTTTGCTTGTAAAATGACTTAGCTTCGTCAATTTGATTTAACAACTCTTTGTATTTGTCTTCTTTATCCTTGAATGTCAAGACGCCCCAGCCTAAAGTACCTAATGAATAGGCACCAAATGTAACTAATGTCCACCAAGGCAAGAAAGGTAAAATTTCGTCATGAACCTTTTCACTTGTTGGAATCACTCCCGAATATAAAGCAAAGTAAACTGCGGATAACGCAAAGAATGCTAATAATGTTTCAGTAATCTTAGTCATTTCTATTATTTCAATCAAGTTCAACTATGGTTTAACTCTACGTTCATTACGTGTTTTGCTTCAAAGTGCTAACAACAATTTGTTTGGTCCTGCATATATAAAAATATATAGTACTACTATCTTTCGTTAAATTACATCATTACTTACTCTTTCAGAAGAGAGTCTTGTTTGATAAAACCAAGTAAGCCCTCTAGTTTATTCACGGATGCATCGTCTACTGCATTCAATCTTGATAATACATTTTCTTCTGTTACCGAAGGATCCAAGGCAGATTCCATGTCGTCGTTTTCTTCCTCTTCGTCTTCTTCTTCAACGTCGTCGTCACCTTGTGGCTTTATCTCGTCATCTTCCAGAACGTCGACCTCCATAGCATCTGCGTTTTCAGTGAAATCGGTATTTATGATTTTGTCAACCTTCACAGGCTCAATTGGCTCTTCCTTTACTATTTTGCTTAATTTGTACCGAATTATTCTTCGAACAGTTTCCATAGTCTGTCTATTGACCCATCCATCCTGGAAATCGGGAGCTTCTCTATAGAAATCATCGCCCAATTTTCCTTGGGCAGATTGAATTAGCGATGTAATGTCCGTATCCAAAATGTCCCCAACCTGGTATGTGACGGTGCGAGGGAGTTTCAGACCATTGAATAACAAGTATTCCGATACTGCAAGAGCTCCGTTTTCGGTTATATTTTCTATGGTATTTGGTAATATTCTTTGCGGGTTCGATGTGGACATCACATTGAAATGTAAGCCGGGTATTCTGAAGTATTCACTTTGGTGCTTCCAAAATGATCGATTGTCCTTCGGGTTTACCCCAAACTTCACATTGCAGAATCTCCACGGTCCACTTTTGTAAATATATGATACGTATGGTAATGCTTGCTTGATAACTCTTCTCATTTCTTGAGGCACGATGTCTTCTAATTGTTTACGAAGCCAGATAGGTTTAATGTCGAAAATTGATTTCAACCATTTAATGCACTCCAAAAGATTATAATCCAAGCTGTTCACCGCTAAATTTGTGTTTGATAATGTCTCATAATTCTTGAGCAATTCTGGAGCTGCTTGATTAGGTATGGCTTCTGTGTAAAAGTCAATAATAATAGTATACAATTTTTGAGTATTTTTCTTCGATACAACTCGTACCTCACCACTGTTTGCATCTTTAACTATGGTTGTCAATGGATTCTTCTGGTATCTATAGTCGAATGGGAAGCGAATCGGGCTAAACACTGGAGGTGGAGGCAATTGGTGGTCGTTATTGAGATAGTTTTCGGGTGATTTATAGTCCAGTATTCCCGAGAATTGTTCGTGCTTATCAAAGTATTGCTTCAAGCCCTGGTAGTTCTGCACGTCCAACACAGACTCGTTAAATTCCTGAACTACCGTATTATTCTTCGTGGAAACCTGAAAATCTGCCATTGCCTTGAACAGAAATGTCTTATTTATGATGGCCACAGGTTGAACTTTATGTACTGAGTTCTTTTTAGCTTCATTAATTTCCAACAATTGCTTCACTGTGTATTTTGAAGGATTCTTGTAGTAATCTTTGGGTATGCTCTTCTTCGGTATGGATACCTTCAACAACACCTTCTCATTCGTATTCATCAGCGATTGCACCGGGTGATGGAACGGATCATTTCTTAACCGGATTTCAAGTACATTATCGTTAGTACTATGTCCCGATGTATTGATGGGCTTATCCAATGTGTTTACCACCTTGGAAATCTTCTCTTTACCACCGATCATTGCAATGGCCCTGTCCTCATTTTTAACTATCAAGGGTAATTCTACTGCCGCCACATGAGGAATATCCATCGAATGCTTCTCAGCTAAGCGCTTATCCGTCATATTGTGCTTTTATGGTAGAAAAAAAAAGGTTGATGTAGGTTTCAATTGTAAACAAATTGAGATAAACTTAATCAGATGTAGAAAAAAATAAAAAACTGCCTTCAGCCAGATTCGAACTGACGATCTCCTCATTACTAGTGAGGTGCCTTACCAACTTGGCCATAAAGGCGGAATATATTTTCTCTGTAAGAGATCACATCTACATATAGTTAGTATATATGTATAGTCTTGCAATGTATAAAGTTATACATCAGTGTTTCAAAACTTGGTGTATAAATAGAGTAGATTATTCCTGAAGTCTCAGAAGAAAGATCAAGGAAATTAGGAACTAATCATAGGTAGTTAAAGTTAGTTAGTTAGCTAAGAATAAAGTAAGTAAATTCTATTTGGTCTATTAGAACATATATATAATATACAGTGTATAAGTATAAGTAATTACCTTATTAGTACCCAGTTTCCTTACATTCTCTAAGAGAACATAAGTATTCCTATATTGCTTACATGCTAATAATAGTTTTATAATAGCTGAAGACTTGACCAAGAATAACAAGAGAAGACATACTAACAAAGTTTTATAAGGTCTATCCAATATAAGTGCGATAACAAAGAAATAATTACAGTACTGGTGGCCAGTCTCCTAACAATTTCTTCAAGAGTAATATCACGTATCACAAGTCATACCCAGAATGCTGCAATATCCTAATACTGTAAGGCAACATTGCAATACCATAGGTAAGAAGAAATATCCTTGCGAATCCCAAGAAGATTAAAGCCAATAAGAACTGAATAGAGAGTAATTAGTTATTTGTCAACTTACTAGTTAACTTATTAGTTAAGATTAAGTCGGAATAATAGATCTCAATAGTATATCAAGTGTTAGCTATAAGAATTACCTTCTTCAACCTCTTTATCTCGCAACTTTCACAATTCTTATATACTCTGTCTGATTTTTTAGTTTTGCAAGAACTTTGCAAAAAATAGGCATTATTGCCATTATTCTCAGAAATCTCCAAATACCTCAGAACACTACACTACGCCAAAGTGCGTTTCTTCCATCCGAATCACAATTCGGCCACATGACTAATCTAACCCTACAACCCAGTCAAATCTACTTAAACCCTCAGATCGGTGTTAAATGCTTGCATCAAGTAATTGCAGCCGGTTGGTGCGACTGGGTTCGCACCGACAGAAACATATTGGCTGCCAAAATACTCAATATAGCTGCAGAAATATCCAATCACTAACTTCATTTTGCTACCGCAACACATGTCATCAATCTCCACAACATACCCCATGAACGTTAGACCAAAAAACCCAATAGCCATCTTGAGAGTAATCGATTTATGTGTTCCCCTGTATATAGTTGGATTGTTCGGCTACTCTCGGTAAATACTATCACGACATTTTATTGGTCAATTTCGCAAAAACCGTGGACATTGGACACTGTCTATCCGACGAAACCTGGAGATTGCCAGGGTGAAAAATTCATATTTAAGTCCTAATATTCTATTAAGTTTTTTTTTTTTTCCCAATTACTTTTAATTGTCAATTGAAATTATATTAATATATTAAAATGTTTACTAAAGTTGCTGCCAGATCATTTTCTTCTTCTGCCTCTTCTGCCTACAAGGTTGCTGTTTTAGGTGCTAACGGTGGTATTGGTCAATCATTATCATTATTATTAAAGTTAAACCACAAAGTTAGCGACTTAGCTTTATACGATTTAAAGGGTGCACCAGGTGTCGCTGCTGATATTTCGCACATCCCAACTAACTCCACTGTCAGTGGTTACGACCCAGAAGGCTTAGAACAAGCTTTAACCGGGTCAGACGTTATTGTTATCCCAGCCGGTGTTCCAAGAAAGCCAGGTATGACCAGAGATGATTTATTCAACACCAATGCTTCTATTGTTAGAGACTTAGCCAAGGCTGCTGCTGATTACGCTCCAGACGCTGCTGTTTGTGTTATTTCTAACCCAGTCAACTCCACTGTTCCAATCGTGGCCGAAGTTTTGAAGTCTAAGGGTACCTACAACCCAAAGAAGTTGTTCGGTGTCACCACCTTAGATGTCTTAAGAGCTTCCAGATTCGTTTCTGAAGTTGCCGGTTCCAACCCAGTTCACGAAAAGGTCACCGTTGTTGGTGGTCACTCCGGTATCACTATTGTTCCATTATTGTCCCAAACTGAACACAGTAGGTTGGACCAAGAAACCAGAGATGCTTTGATCCACAGAATCCAATTCGGTGGTGACGAAGTTGTCCAAGCCAAGAACGGTGCTGGTTCCGCTACCTTATCCATGGCCCAAGCTGGTGCTAGATTCACTGGTGCTGTTTTAGACGGTTTAGCCGGTGAAAAGGATATTGTCGAACCATCTTTCGTCGACTCTCCATTATTCAAGAGCGAAGGTGTTGATTTCTTCTCCTCTAAGGTCACTTTAGGTCAAGATGGTGCCAGTATTGTTCACCCATTAGGTGGATTATCTGACCACGAAGAAAGCTTAGTCAAGGAAGCCAAGGACACTTTGATCAAGAACATCCAAAAGGGTGTTGACTTCGTTAAGCAAAACCCATAATTCTTTTATGTAATCGATTGAATTATTTATAAACGTATATAATGGTGAATGAAAGTTTTTATAGCTAGTGTTACAAAGTCGTAGATTTTGGGTTTGTCATTCCAAAGTACAATTAAAAGCCAGTAACTCGTTACTATGACCTCAACCCTCTCGAAAGGCAGCTCCAATGATGTGATTTGTAGCTCTATGTAGCCCTAACAATGTGTTAAAGGATCTAAAATGTCGGTCCTTTTCCTAATAATGTCGCGGTTTCCTATAATGTCGTTTTCCGCTATGGTCAAACGGCACGCGACAGCTATTCGACAGTTGCGAAACCATACGGACATAACCCGATCGTATGATTCTTGCTCTAGATGGTATGTTGCGGTATCTTACAGACCATGACATCTGATTGCATCAAGATTCTCACAAAGAACATGATTCGATCTATAACTGAAATCGATTCAAGCTACATCCGAATCACCGAGGGTACAATGTCATGTGAAATCATACTCCCGTATTAATTACTCTGCTCCTCCCATTAAATTTGGAGACTTTTTTACCAATCTGAATTCCTTTTTCACTTCGTGTTCACAGCAATGCAACGCTCTGACATTCCACATTATCAACAACAATTGATCTATTCAATTGTACTAGTTCTAGGACACGGACCTCGGATAAAAATGTGCAGATCTAACTACCTAAACTGTCATTTGCCAGGCATATTTAAGACAAACAACACCTCCATTTTTGCCGTTTTCCCCAGCTAATTGTAATTGCTTTGAAACTAATCTGTAGTGAACTGTTCATGAAATGGAATATGTAGCTGTATTCTTCTACAGATTCTACAATATTACGCTTTGCCCAGAATGCGCCGAAACGCGCGTAAACCCTCGGAAGTGCTATAGTATAAATGCAGCATTTTGAAATTCTTCTATAGAATGCCCTTCCCTTCCACTAGTCTTCCTCACTGATCATACATGTGTCCTGCAGTTGACGATATAACCTGTTAGTGAACATATGTAATTGCGGGTTATACTATGTAATTTAGTTGATTCTTATAGGTAGTAGCTCAGTCCTATATACGAGCCTTGCACAAAATAATCTGTGGATTGGTGCAAGAGACCTTATAGTACGCCTTGTGGTGACGATTCGGCCTAAAAATTAGTCCGGTCCACAATCTATATATAGCTATGTCTACGGAATGATATCATCAACACCTCATGTCTGTGGCACCTTTCTTTGATGATATGCTTAATATACTGGTTAGGCCAGCCCATGCTATATTTAGCGCTATACATATACTGGCCTATTATGTGCGTTTATTCGCCTTGTAAACATCAATGTTGTAGAGTTGACCCGTTGCCTCATTAGTTATCGCCGACCCGGCTCGTTCATGGGCGAAGTTCTTGATATCTTTTTTGCTTGACGCGTTAATTTAGGATGCGAGGTCGGAAGATAATTCCTAGAACCTCGGCGAATCCGGGGAAGTTTGTTGACCGGAAATTCACTTCCCCGTTCAAAATTGACAATTGACACTATTAGCCCGCATTACCTTTTGGCTCGTAAGTACGGCACTGCCCTCGGAAATGATAGTGAAAAATGTCGTTTGTCAATCTTTGCTAACAAATGGGATGTCGTTAGTGGAATTAATCATTTTTCATCGATACTAGGGTAGGTAATTTCTACATTAGACTTCGAAGCTTACCTACGAAATACCTTTAAGTACAACAAACTTGCACTTAAGCGGAATATCTTTGTTGGCTGGACATTTTTTTTGTTGATTTGTTCTTAGGTAGGTTTTTTTTGCTAAATTTGTGAAGGTTACGTTTCGTTTAGGAATCGGAGCAGAAGATAGAAGCCAGAAACGATCGCTAAATAGGAGGAAAAATATCCGTACGGTTGACGAAGTAGGTAGAGTAGCTGATCTGGAATATTACGGGATAAACCTTATTCGAATACACCTATTTATTTGTTAGTAATCGAAAGTGTGGACAAATAGGCAAAATAATGGATAAATTCTTGGTAAGTTCACCAACACAGCTTTCACAGGGATTCGACATTGGAAATGACACTGGTTTGTTAGATTTGGATCATGGAGAGTTGTTCAATGACGACCAAAACAATACCATTTCTCGGGAGTCTAACATAGACCACGATGACATCACTTTACAAGCCGATAACGTCGAGTTCTATGGACTCGACTATCCAAGCCAGGAATCATTGCATGATATAGTGCCCATCTCCAACAACTCGGGAACGGGTAATTCTAATGGGTATTATAATAACAGCCATCGATTTCAGCATTCCAAGAATATTTCACTTGATGGAGGAAACATGTACAGTTCCAAGATTTCTCATCAGTCAAATTTGTCTACTTCATCTATGGTATCATTATCACAAGATGCACCTAGTCAGTACGACGCCAATCATATGAATCAGTCGGGATCTAATAACACATTGTACTCTGGGGATTCGATACCGCAGCTATCGTCGTCCCTTTCATATCAGTCGTTCCTGGACTCCCCATCTTCCATAAAGCATAATGTACATCAAAAACTGCAGCTGCAGAACGTTCCACCTCTGAACACACCAAGAAGAATTGGTCGCAATAAGTCTATGTCCGTTTCTTCTTGTAATAACTATAATGCATTTGCTACTCCATCAAGAGGTCCAAATAATCTCAGCTTGTCTCCTGTGAACCTTGTATCTACAGCTAGTAATAAGGTTGGGAAAACACCGCATTCGCTGAAAACAAAGGGTCATAGCAGATCGAGATCAAGACTATCAATTGATGCTACGAACAACTCATTATTAGTGAACAATCCATCTTCGAATGGACAAAAAATAACCACACCTGCTCAGAATTCATCGAATTATCCAGGGCTTAATCCTTTCTACACGCCATCATATGTTTCGCCTCGTCTCGATAAACTAGGGGATTTTGATGATTTTGGAACACTGTTGCTTACGCCAAGTTCAAATAATCAAACAAACCCACAATGGAGCAATCAGGGAAGTGGATCATACCATCAATTCAATTATTTGAGTCCTGTGGCGAATAATATGAACTATCCTTCTAGTAGCGGTACTAGTAGCAATAAAACCAATACCGCTTTTACAACACCTATGCTATTGAAAAGAAACGATACATTAGATTCTATAAAAATTGAAGATCAGGATGATGATGCCTTTAAACAATTAGGAAAGGCGAAATCTTATTCAAATTTTGTAAATTCTAAATTTATGTCTAATGAGACGAAGAAACTAGGATTTATGGAGGATGATAATAATTATAGGATGTTAGAACAATCATTAATGGACAGGCCAGAGATTGGCGATATAAAGAAAGACGATGATATGTTTTTGAATGCAGCCGATTTGTCTTTAAAACTTGCCTCTCAGTTAGTTTCAAATCCAAACAGCGAAGTTCCTGATACTATAGTGTCCTCAAACTCAACTCCTGGAGTCATACATTCACATAATTCACCAACACGTTCATACAGTGTGTTATCTAATAATGTTCCTCCAGCAACATCCTTTTCGGTTCCTTCTACTGCAGGTGCTTCAACAACTGACTTTGAATTTAAACATAAAAATCAAAATTCTCATCAACCCAAGGCACCAGGTATTGATTTATTGCTGCCTCAATTTAATTCTAATCATTTGACTGATGAAAAGTTAATTAAAAATAACCAGAGAGCAAATCATTCATATAATAGTTCTTTTACAAAATCATATCCAGCGTCAATTGACTTAGCTTCCATAGCCACT